CAGAGTATTGTGAAGAGTTCCCTGTGCTATACAGCAGGCTAAATTTGGTAAGGTATGTTTTATGGCCCAGGATGTGGTCTGTCTTGGCGGATGTTCTGTGTGAGCTTAGGAAGAACACGTATTCTGTAGTTGCTGGATAGAGTATTCTATAAAAGTCAATTAGATCAGTTTCATTGATAGTGCTGTTCAGGTTAACTATATTCTTACTGAAAGACAGATGTTGAAGTATAATAGTTGATTTCTCTATTTCTCCTTGCAGTTCTAACAGTTTTTGTCTCCCAAATTTTAATGCTCTGCTGTTAAGGTACACACACGTCTTTTTGTTTCCCTGGAGAGTTGACATTTTTATGATTATGATCCTATTTATCCCTAATAATTTTTATTGTTCCAAAGTCAGCATCATTTAAAATTAATATAGCTATTTCGTCTTCCTTTTGGAAGGAAAAAATGGTATATTTTTTCCATATAGTTACTTTTAACCTCTGCATTTAGAGTGAGTTTCTTGTAAACAACATAGAGTCGGGTCTTGGTTACTTCCCCCACCCTTGTTATAGACATGAAAGAATTTTTCTTGGCTTTTTAACATGAGAACTTGGTGGGGTCCCTGGAGGTAAAACTCACAAGTGTGGTTGCCTCCCTAAGACTGCAGCCCCTAAGGATTCCTTGCTCTCAAACTAGTCTACACACTGCTTCCAGTAATTTCTCAAAGTTTTGGTTTGAGTGTTCTTATCACTTTATGACTCTACTGGCATCTAATCCAAGTAAATTGATCTCAAGTCTTCTTTGTATTCACCTTTCTCTCCAGATTTTGGGATAGCGGTTTGCCCTACAACTTTTATTCTCTAATGGTTCCAAGGAAAGTCACTGGTTTTCAGTTTGTTCAGTTTTTTTCTTGCATGTATGGCAATGATGATTTCCAAGCTCTCTACATGTTGGAGCGGAAATAGGAAGTTGTCCTTGTTTTTGAGTATGATACGCTTATGTTTGTTCAAGGTTTGTGTGTGTGTTTTTATTTTCTGAGGTTCTTGCGTCTCTGGTTTGCTGTCACTAATTTTGGAAAATTCTTCACCAGTGTTTCTCCAAATATTTATTTCTGTCCTTTCCTGGCTTTCTTTTTACAGTCCAGTTGTACACACTTAAGACTTATTTAATAAAGTACCACATCTATTGATACATTCCAAATATCTTAGCTCCTAGATAACTAATGATTAAGACCAAATATCACTTTTGGAATAAGGCATAATTTTGCAGAGTAATTCCACATACTTAGGCTTTGAAAAAGAAATGAGATCAGAACTGGTGAAAAAGTGGAGGGAAAGCATTTAATAGGGGATACTGACTTGAGCAAAGTTATCAGCGTGTAACTGTAAGAAATTTTTAGGGATCAGAGAATAGAGCAATCTGCATATAGTGTTCATTTTAGAAACGAATAAGGTGTATGTCTTCTTTTTGCTGAGCTAATACCTACTCACCCTTCAGAACTTGCTTTAAATATCAGATCTAGCATTTTCTGACCTCTTCAGAATAGATTTAGTCCTCCTACTTTATGCTTTCATAGCACTATTTATTTGTTTGTTTTTATATCATCAATAGTAGTAGTACACATTTATTGAATGAGTACTATATGCTAGGAATTGTGTTAAGCACTTAAGAACGATATCATTTGAGTGTACGTTTAAAATTTGTCTTTTACCCTTCACTGTATGTAGCATAAAAGGACAAGGCAGATATGTCTTTTCTTTCACCATTGTATCCCTAGTGCCTAGTGTAGAGCTTGCCGCGTATTAGGTGCTTAATATATCTTTGTTGACTGATTAAGTAGTTAAAGATGTTATTGGTAATTTTATTATTTACTCCTAGCTAATGAAGATATTCTTCTTTCTAGTCCATTGGATTCACTTGTTGAGATTGCTAAACTACCACTTCAGTCAATACTTAAGGCTAGTAATTCTGAAAACGCCTAGAATGGCCTTGCGGTACCTTGAATGATTTTGGAGTTGGATGAGAGAGAAATAACCACTGATGAATTCACTGTATTCTGTTTGGACCACATAATCATGTGTGAAGTAGCTGCCATTTTGAAATGATTGGAATTTGGAAGTCATTTTATTTGGGATTTTAAAGTTAATTTAACCACAAGTTCCTTATTCAAAACCGATCTAAATGCATAGTATTGTCAAAATTATTTTCTTGCATTCTGTTCATATATGTATGTAGTTCCTACTTGGTTGAAATAATCTTGGTATAATAATAAAAAGTTCTGAATCCATTTAACAACCATGTGTAAGAAATAACTATTTCTCCTATCTGTCAGCAAAGTGCTACAGTCTTTTTTTTCTTCCAGTGACCTAGATACACCCAGAGCCTGTGAGATTTGCTCTGAATTTATCTTAAAAATCAATATCAGTTTTCCTTTGCCTATTTCTTTCTTTTTTTTTTTTTTTTTTGTACGCGGGCCTTTCACTGTTGTGGCCTCTCCCCTTGCGGAGCACAGGCTCTGGACCCGCAGGCTCACCG